TGCTCAATACTTTAGGATTTGATTAAATCAGGCAGCAAGCACTGGTTGTGAAGGACAAGGTGAACTTTCTACAGTGGAGTTTATTTTAGAATATTTATTTTGGTATACTGTTCCACCCAATTCGTTGAATGTTTCAACCAATGTGAACTGTGGAATAAAGAGATAAGGAGAAAAATAGGTATATATATATTGAAAAGGAGGAAAACATTAGGACCCTCTTTTGCCCTCAGAACAGCCTCAATTCGTTGGGGCATGGACTCTACAAGGTGTCGAATGCTTCCCACAGTTGTGTCAAGTTGGCTGGATGTCCTTTGGGTGGTGGACCATTCTTGATACACACGGGAAACTGTTGAGCGTGAAAAACCCAGCAGCGTTGCAGTTCTTGACACAAACCGGTGCGCCTGGCACCTACTACCATACCCCGTTCAAAGGCACTTACATATTTTGTCTTGCCCATTCACCCTCTTAATGGCGCACATACACAATCCATGTCTCAATTGTCTCAAGGCTTAAAAATCCTTCTTTAACCTGTCTCCTCCCCTTCAACTACACTGATTGAAGTGGATTTAACAAGTGACATCAATAAGGGATCATAGCTTTTACCTGGAATCACCTGGTCAGTCTATGTTATGGAAAGAGCAGGTGTTCTTAATGTTTTCTATATACTCAGCGTTTATATATATATATAGAGAGAGAGAGAGAGAGAGAGAGAGAGAGAGAGAGAGAGAGAGAGAGAGAGAGAGAGAGAGAGAGAGAGAGAGAGAGAGAGAGAGAGAGAGAGAGAGATATGAGAGAAGTGAGAGAGGTCAGAGATTCTCTGCAGTCTCCTGCTCGATTACACAGCGGGAGATCAAATCCATCACATCTTGATAACACCTGACATATTCTTATCTAATGACGGGCTCTCTTTGGAGCAATTAATAATACAATATTTTAGTATGCTGCTCAATACTTTAGGATTTGATTAAATCAGACTCAGCAGCAAGCACTGGTTGTGAAGGACAATATTAATTTTCTACAGTGGAGTTTCTTTTAGAATATTTATTTTGGTATACTGTTCCACCCAATTCGTTGAATGTTTCAACCAATGTGAACTGTGGAATAAAGGTGCAACGCAAAGCTTTTTACAAACGTGTTTTCCAATCAGCCTAGTCTGACTTAGTCTGACTTGCATTTGAGATACATCAAAAAAGAAAAACATATTTCATAGAGTACAGTATATCAAGGGAAAACTGTTCAACAAGGCTTGACTTGTTGACTCCTGGATCTCACTTGATGGAAGTTACAGTAGGTCTCTGTTCAACCACCCACACACATTTCACCTCTCAGCCAGGTCACCCGTGATACAAGTCAGTATTTGATGTCCATTCGTGTCTGAGGACGTTGGGATATGTGGATGGGGATGGTGGATGTGCGTCTTGCACCTGCCTCTTATTCCAAAGGTTGCAAGTTCAAATCCAGCGATAGAAAGTTGTTTTGTTTTAAGCCTATCCCAAACCTTAGGAATTTGGAGTTAATGCCTAAATTTGGAGTTAATACCTAAACCATGGTGGTGGTTGCAGTCATTGCAGCTAAAGGTGGCACAACCAGTTATTGAGTGTATGGGGGCAATTACTTTTTCACAAAGGGGCATTGGGTGTTGCATAACTTTGTTTATGAAATAAGTATGTAATTGTTGTGTTATTTGTTCATTCAGGTTCCCTTTATCGAATATTCAATTTTGGTTGAAGATCTGATAACATTCAGTATAAGAAATATGCAAAAGTAGAGAAAATTAGAAATTGGGCAAATACTTTTTCACGACACTGTATATGTGCACACTTCCATGACACTGAGTCATTATCTTTTGATTGTATGGTAATTATTATTTTAATAGTTGCTAATAAGAGGAAACCAACCATATGAAACTTACTTAATAGTTTGTTAACATTTGTTGAACTGTTTTATAGTATCAGATTGTCAGGTCAATGTAAGTCATATTACAGCATTTAGTGGAGCAGGACAGGTGGACACTGCACTGTAAAATGCACTTTGTTCTAAGTCTTGATCTTGAAGTGTTGAGAATGAAGATAGCCAATAGGACAACAGATGGAAGAGTTTACAAGCTTTTTTACCAGCATTTTAATCACAGTTAATATGTCTTTAAACTTGTAGTACAGGTCAGGGACTTCACCAAGTTTACAAATATAAATAATGGAAAGAAAGTGTGTTTCCTTTGGCTGGCACAAAGCCAAACGTCCTCAGCTTTCTATTGTTCTAAGCCCCCTTTTTTTCTGTTTCCCAGGTTTTTGTTTTGGGGCAACCATGCTGAGCACAATATCTGAGCAAATCCAACCGCAGCTTTGTATAGTAGGACAACACAGGGGGCTGACCTATCCACATTGACTGGACCGCAGTGGAGAAGGTGGAAAGCGTCAAGTTCCTCAGCGTACACATCACTGACAAACTGAAATGGACCACCACAAAGACAGTGTGGTGAAGAAGGCGCAACAGCGCCTCAGGAGGCTGAAGAAATTTGGCTCCTAAGACCCTCAGAAACTTTTACAGATGCACAATTGAGAGCATGCTGTCGGGCTGTATCACCGCCTGGTACGGCAACTGCACCGCCCGCAACCGCAGGGCTTTCCAGAGGGTGGTACGGTCTGCCCAACACATCACCGGGGGCACACTGCCTGCCTTCCAGGACACCTACAGCACCCGATGTCACAGGAAGGCCAAAAAGATCATCAAGGACATCAACCACCCGAGCCACGGCCTGTTCACCCCACTATCATCCAGAAGGCTAGGTCAGTACAGGTGCATCAAAGCTGGGACCGAAATACTGAAAAACTGCTTCTATCTCAAAGCCATCAGACTGTTAAATAGCCATCACTAGCCAGCTACCACCCGGCTACTCAACACTGCACCTTAGAGGCTGCTGCCCTATATACATAGACATGGAATCACTGGCCACTTTAATAATGGAACACTAGTCACTTTAATAATGTTTATATACTGCTTTACTCATCTCATATGTATATACTGTATTCCACTCTACTGTATTTAGTCAATGCCACTCCGACATTGCTCGTCCTAATATCTATATATTTCTTAATTCCATTTTGCCAATGGCGACAGGATGCCAGCAACGGCCATCAGTATCTCTGATTGAGGGAAAGATTGAAACTGAAGAGGAGAGGGGCAGAGAAATAAAAGAGTAAGAATTCACTGGATGAACACAGAAATATGACAAAATAAAAACTAATCAGGGAGGGAGGGAGTGTGTGAGGGAGAGATAAATACTTTAGAGGGAGAGAAAGAAAAAAATGCAGAGAAAAAAAGATGTAGAGAAATATTCATTGGGGCATGGATATTAGCTTTGCCTGATGACTCATCCTGAATTTAATTTAGCAGCTCTATCAATCACGCCATACATCAGTCTGAACCTGCTGTCCTAGAAGTCGTTTGAGCTGATGTCAAAATGATGTGATACATGATTTGTGTAGGCCGGCTCTGGCCCAACCCAACCCATCGGTTTCTGGGACCAATCAAAATGGTTTCAATGTGTTTGCATTCGAGAAGTCACCGGGGAGGAAGCAAATCCAGATTTATCATGGAGAAGAAACGTTAGTGGGCGTGGCATTTGGCCGGAGCGATGTGGATGGGAAGCCAGTCAAATTTTTGCTTGTCTCCTCAGAGGTTAATGTGAGGGATTGGCTTTACAGTGCCAGTCCTGATATGGCACTGGCATGCACTAGGGTTGAATGGCTGGAACCCGGTTATCGAGATTTACCGAGATTTACCGCCCAAAACCACTCCCTTTTCCCGGGATAAATAACTGCGAGAAACCGGTAAATTATAATAAATTATTTATATCAACAGCATGACGTGAAATGGAACTGTTAAATTATATGCAATGTCAAAATAATGCTTCTCTACAGCCTTCTCTCTGCTCTCTGCATGATCAATCATCAACGCTCATGGTGGGGACAGTCAGCCCATCTCAGTATGGAGTGCAGATCACAATGCATGTAGACTTATCATCTCATCATGGTACCTTTTTTTCTTGTGACAGGTAGGCCTACATTTTCTGCAGCATAGCCTATAGACCGAATGCACGTCCAATTTACACAATTTTGTTATTGTAAAGATTTTTTTTTATTGCAGCTGCAGAGTTTTGAAAAAGCCTATCACTCAAATTTCATTGCTTTAAATCGGAGCATGCGCAAGCAGTCTTCCTCTCTCTCTCTCATCAATTCCATTCAGATTGCATCCAAAATAGATAATCCTGCTCAAGATTGATATACATTACCAGTCAAAAGTTTGGACACACCTACTCATTCCAGGGTTTTTCTTTATTTTTACTATTTTCTACATTGTAGAATAATAGTGAAGACATCAAAACTATGAACTAACACATATGGAATCATGTAGTAACCAAAAAAGTGTTAAACAAATCAAAATATATTTTATATTTGAGATTCTTCAAATAGCCACCCTTTGCCTTGATGACAGCTTTGCACACTCCTGTAAATTGTCAAAAAGAGAAAATTAAAATGATTATAAACCTAGGTCACTTCTATTTCCTTTATACTCAAACAATATTAATGAGTGTTTGTGATGTTTTGGATTGTATTTATTATCAAGATCAACCATTTAAACCTATTAGGGATGCATGGCTGCTTCTTACAAAAATGAATCAAGTCAGATAAATGTAGTTAGTTTTAATATTTCAATATTTCCCATCTCTAGCATTGGTTTTCATTTCTCAATATTTCCCATCTCTGCTGCTACTCTAGTGGTTTAAGTGCTAAGCCCAAGGGCACAACCTCCTCTAGTTGCATTTGCACACCATTCTACTCTCCAAATATGGAGTTACAGATATTCCATGATTTATTCATGGGGGTAGGCCTATGTACAGGAAAACTAGGTGTAGGATGTTTAAAGTTAACATTCATTCAGTCCAACCCTCATTCACCAGTAAGTGATTCAGCCTGTAGCTTGTTCAATTATTTTCAATATCAACCTTGATCCTGAACTTTATCTTGGCATCGACATATAGATCTATTAAAAGTTGTATCATCATCAGCTACTGCTGAGATGTCTAAGAACATTGGGAAAGAGCTCACTGTAAATCGTATGACAGACAGACTCACCCTTTCCAAAATTATGTGGGACATTGTTGCGTTAGCGTCCACAATGATGGTGGCAGTCTTGTCATCGCGAATCTCCTTGAGAAGGGGTGTGGGATCCTGGCTGTCATCCAGCATGCGAACCGATAGGGTCTCCTTGGAGATGAGGAACTGGCGTAGCAGTCTCTCCAGATTTAATAAGCCTGTTGGGACAGGGATGAAGACGGTGATATTATTATGAGCTGGTACACAATTAATCTCCTAAAGGTAATCTGTGATGAATTTCTGGGTATTAAAGTCACATTTCTGAGAACAACCACTGACAATAAAAAAATACAAAGACGTCATTTTGTGTGAGAAACACCATATTCATAAAAATAACAGTGAATCGCTATTTTGGACCCGTCCCCGATGAGACGTGAAAATGTTCTTTTTTCGATCGATAAACAAAAAGTCAATTTTTATGCGTTGTTTGTCAATAACACCGTCATTAAAATCCTTCCCACCTAAAATAATTTAACTGATGACCTGTAATTACAGCTAATTGTAAAGTAAAAAATAATAATATTTAAACACCACCTCCAGCATTTACTTCCCAGAACCGCTTCAAAGACATTGGATATGGGTTAATTATAAGTGACGTAATGAATATGTTTCCAGTGGCACTTTACTGAACTTGTAATACAATTACAATACAACAGAGACTAAGCCTTAATTTTGATAGAATTCCTTTGTTTCTTTTATCCCTTTTAGGTTTCCAGTGGCACTTTACTGAAACTATACATTCATAGGTGTCAGGACATTCAGTAGATTACAATACAACTTAGACCAGCATTGATCATAGTAGAATCCATTTACATAGAATAATTGTTTTATTTCTTTGGTTACATGCAGTAGCAGCAACAGCTGTTCCTAAGGCACTACGTGTTCTAACTCATCGAATCCTAATGCCTTTAACGGTTTGTCTCTCCTAGAAACACACGTCATCAGCAATGATGCCTGTCCGCTCCGAGACTGTCAGCTCCGTTACCTGTTGAGTTACTCAGCATATCAGTGATGATGCTTAAAAACCTGCTCAGTCTCCATTGCCTGCTTGCAATTTCACATTTAGTCCATTACATTAGACAGCACACTGCGCTGCTCAGTGTTCACAGCAGGAGTTGGTTCTCCTGTCATTCCCTGGCATTCAACCAGTGGGGAAGAAATCTCAGGAGAGATCCATTTGGTGTCTAGGCTGTGCATGATTCAAAGCAACAGAAATAAAAATGGAGTATCTACGTGACGTCTTCATTTCACAATCTCTTTTGAGCCCTGACATTTGTTGCATCTATTCTGGCAGCTATGTCGCTTCCACGTTTCAGGCTTTTGAACCCATGCTAATGAAAAATAACAGCATAATGCTAAAACAGGGAGGCACTGTTTTCTCGGTTAGTCGTGGAAAAAGGGAGACCGTTGAATGATAGAGATGTGTGAAGCCTGTTTTCTTTGTGGAGGCTGTGCTGCTGCTGCCTGCAGTAGTTGGTGTGTGATGCTGCAATGTTGTAGGTGCCTCATTGGCATGGGCCACACATACTGTAGCACTGCCTGATGCTGCCTTTCAGGCAGACAGATAAAGGTAGGGCCTGCCACTCAGTCTGGGCAGCCAGTCATTTCCCCCTTTCACAGACCGTCACATTTCACTGGGCTCTCACAAAGCCCCCACTCTCATTTACCTTCCTGCACACAGTGCCTCTATGCAAATACACTGCTCAGCCAGGACCAATGACAGGTCCATGCCAGTGTCAACACAGCACCCAACTTGGCTGCACACTAGTCTGTTGGACTGGGCTGCTGGACTCTGTACTGTACAACCAAATGGGTGCAGTCTACAGAATTTCATGGCATTTCAAAGTAAAAGATGGATATACTTTTTAAACAGGCCCGAACCTGAATGACCATGATAAATCGGGTGATTGAATCGATTGACGGGCAGATGGAAGAGAGTTAAATTACTTCAATGTAGTTTTCCCTCCAGACCAGCAGCATTCATTAACTGGAGTGCTTGGGATAGGACAGTTCCTAATGTCTAGGCATTCGTAGAGTGTCAGTACATTAACTTACCCTAACCTGAATATAACCACACAGATCAAAAAGTCGATAGTCTATCACTCTCTCTTATATAAACAGTTCAGCGTGTCACTAGAACTCGTTACTGGGCAAGGGCAGGGCATTTGGGACGTTGTGGGTCTGAGTGATCCTTTCTCATCTTTCCCTGTTGAAAGGGAACTTTCTTCCATATTTCATCCTGGTAGATGAGCAGACAGCTGACCATGGCTCTCCTCTGCTTTGTTCTCATTAGGCACCAAGGCGAGAACCAACCCCCCCCACCCCCCCACCCACCCTCCCCCCCAGCACCACACATCAAAATCCCATTACGCCGCGTATCGCATCAAACTTAATGTCTTCGGTCAGGGGAAAGGAAGGGGAAACGTAGAAGGAAATCCAGGGAGAGCCAATGGAGGAAGCTCCCTCTCATCCCTCTTGTTAGAGCCTTTGGTGGAGCCATATTTCCTCCACAGTTTCCTCCCTCACTGCTGTCTTTCAGTAGGGAGGCAGTGCACCAGAACTGACGGCACAGCAACTATTCATTCTGATGGGGAGAATTACGGTGGGCTGATGTCTGCTGTTACTGGAGCTGTAAATATATCATAATCCGTATTGAAACTTTCTCTAAATGTCATCACGTCGGGAGGATTTCTCAGTTTGATCCCCAGACAACAAACAACAACAAGTCATCGCCGGTACTGGCTAAATCACTTCATCACCCCAGTTAACCGGTCCGTCTACCCACAGAGTTTATTCATCCAGCTCTCTCCGGAGACAGAGAGACATTATTTTACTTGATCAACTTTAATTACAGATTACTCATGACATTTTCAGAGCAGAGAGTCTAATCGTTGAGCAAGCATATCCTATAATTGTTCCGCTCCAAGGAGACATAAACGTCTACCTTGACAGGTGGAGAAAGCCCAGAATTTTGGCGTGTGTGTGTGTGCCTTTAAAACATTTGGATGAGTCTAACTTCTCTCAATAAAAAACTTAGGGAGTTGGTTGCTAAGGTGCATGTCATCAGAGAAGTCATTTAAGGGGTTTTACATTCGAAGGGTACTATTTGCCTTACTTCCAGCTCATTCAATTCAGACGATAAAATGCTACGTTAGGTGATAGCGGATTCATAACATAAGATGTTGGGTTGACCAGGATGCCCCCCACCCCCCGTCCCCGCTGGTCTTGTCTGAGCCAGTCCCCCAGAAGTAGAGTGTGGGTGATCTGTCCCCTCCCACCCCCCTGCTGCCCGCCAGCTGACCTCCCATGCACTAATCTCCCTGTTAACAAAGCGCTCCACTCTCCCACACAGTCCTCCTCCACCCCTGTGGCTAGGTTCTCTATGTCCTACTGTACTACTCCATGAGTGCGGTGATTGCACACACAACCACACGGCCATCGATAGCGGTAGGCAGGTTAGCCAGATGAATGGGTGTCCTTCTTTGCGCTAACTCCACACTCCTTCCACTCCTGCCCCTCTCTCTCTTTCTCTCTCACTCTCTAAGCCAGGAAGCCAGGGGCAGGCTGGGAAATATTTATGACTCGGCCACGGTCTGTTAGACTGTCACCGGCCGCTGTGATTAATGAGGCCAGTGCCGACCGTCGTGGAGCCTCTGCCTGCCAGCCAGCTAACGCTACCGCGGATACTGCTACTGCTGCAACAGCCCAAGCCGTCACTGGTATTTTACCGTAGTGCTGCGGAAGGGGTCACATGGCAGGGCAATCACTACAGCCCGTGTCATTTCCAGACAACCTCTCCCTCCGCTCCCATGTGCAATTCCAGTAGTAAGGTTAGATTCCCCTCCCTCAGTGACTGGCATCCTCCTCGCTGTCAAGGAAGGGAAGGGCCATGCTCCCCCTCAGCAGCCTTATCGATTCCCTTTAGCCCACATTGACACAGACAGGAGCTCGTACAGAGCCATATAAAAAGGAAACTGCCATTATAAAGTTTGAGGTTTTTCTCTCACACAGCTTGTTGATGGTGAGATTGCGGCCCTTTTATGGATATGTCGATATTTCACAGCATTTCATAACTCTTGCGAGGCACGGAACTGTCATGTGTCTGTGGGCTAATTACCAAAATTGTTTGATGAGCTCTCCGCTAAACGATAGCAACACGCATAAACACCCAAGTGGAAAATAACAACTAATTAGCTAGTTTTGACGCTGGCAGTCATTGTCAAGAATCAGTCCAGGCAGTTCTGAGTCACTATGGTCTTTTTGCTGTTGGTGGGCTTTTTTTCCCCTCCCACTTTTCTTCCTTGTTATCTCTGTTTCTCGGGTAACACCTCAGTCGAACTGGCTTGTCCGGGTATAAATGTCAACCATTATTTTCTGAAGTTGGTTGGGAGAGTTGTGTGAGGGGTGGGGGTGATGGTGGGGAGAGGGTGGGTTGGGGGGGGTTGTGCCAGCTGAGAGCACCTCAGTTTTAATCGAGAGCTAAAATCCAGCCTGCCACACTTCAAAGCCCTAAGCTGATTAAGGGGAAAGTTGGCCTGTAGCAGATGGGGTCAATGTGACTTTGTACGGGTACTTGTAATTACTGATTCCTGTACAGAGAAGGGTGGAAACAGACTGGGATTTAATCTTCCATTATTTCATACTTTGTTTTGCTTTGTCTTTGACGTCTTTGAGTCTGGCAGTTTGATCATGGATCCATACTGGGTATTTTCATGAATTTCTCTTTTTAAGGTCAGAAACGACATTATCATCTCAGGGAGGGAGGTGTTTGATGATAAGTGTATGCGACATCACACAAGAATGTCAATGGAATAAAAGAGGAAGATGCATTAATGGCCTATGTGAAAAGCAAAGTCATTTGCCAACGTTTTACTAGATGATGATGCATTGTGGGGAGGAAGAATTACGCAAGAGTAAATGCATTTGGGTTATACATAGGCTTCTGTGTGGGTGTATCAACTGCAGGGTGATTCTGCATCTTCAAAAGGGTGTGTTTGTGTCAGTGGGTTAGCTGTTAGAATGCACTGTATCCCAAAACCACAGTGTGTGTGTGTGTATGTGCATGTGCGTGTGCATGTGCGTGTGCATGTGCGTGTGTGCGTGTGTGTGTGTGCATGGAATGGAATGTGTGTACAGTACCAGTCAAAAGTTTGGACACCTACTCATTCCAGGGTTTTTCTTTATTTTTTAAAACTATTTTCTACATTGTAGAATAATAATGAAGACATCAAAACTATGAAATAACACATATGGAATCATGTAGTAATGAAAAAAGTGGCAATGGACATTAGACAGGTATAAATCTGTCCTTTGGTCTGATGAGTCCAACAGAGTCCCATCTAGTTTACGCTTAGTGGGACTATCATTTGTTTTTCAACAGGACAATGACCCAACACACCTCCAGGCTGTGTAAGGGCTATTTGACCAAGAAGGAGAGTGATGGAGTGATGCAACAGATGACCTGGCCTCCACAATCACCCGACCTCAACCCAATGGAGATGGTTTGGGATGAGTTGGACCGCAGAGTGAAGGAAAATCAGCCAACAAGTGCTCAGCATATGTGGGAACTTCTTCAAGACTGTTGGAAAAGCATTCCAGGTGAAGCTGGTTGAGAGAATGCCAAGAGTGTGCAAAGCTGTCATCAAGGCTAAGGGTGGCTAATTTGAAGAATCTCTAATATAAAATATATTATGATTTGTTTAACACTTTTTTCGGTTACTAAATTATTCCATTTGTGTTATTTCATAGTTTTAATATCGTAACTATTATTCTACAATGTAGAAAATAGTAAAAATAAAGAAAAACCGTTCAATGAGTAGGTGTGTCCAAACTTTTGACTGGTACTGTATATGGTACAAATGGCAACAAAGAGGAAGTGGTGCGTGAACCACTCACAGTCGGCCTGGGCACAGATGAGGCAGGCTGTGGTGCTGTTGAAAAAGGTGAGCAGGCCAGCCACGGCCAGGCTGATGTCTGTGTTGGTGGGGCGCAGGTCCAGGGTGGTGAAGCGGGGGAACTGAACCTTCAGAATGTCCTCAGGGGCCACTTTCACATAGGGAACCTACAGAGAGAGAGGAGAGGAGAGAGGAGAGAGAGAGAGAGAGAGAGAGAGAGAGAGAGAGAGAGAGAGAGAGAGAGAAGAGGAGAGAGCAGGAGAGAGAGAGAGAGAGAGAGAGAGAGAGAAAGAGAGAGAGAGAGAGAGAGAGAGAGACATACGGTTCAGGATGAATGAATTAAGTAAGACATGTCTACAAAGAGAGTTTTGATGCACCGTTAGCTCTTGTTGTATGTGAATATGGTGTCAACAAACAGCATGATTCTGACAAAACCAAAGCATTGCTAGAGGAGATGTTCGTAGCACTGCTCGTTGAGCAGTTCCAAGTGCAATACTTTGGCGAAGAAGCGTGCAGAGTACAAAAAAACAAATGTTCATTATATTCTCACCAGGCTAATTAGAACCATCTTATATCTGAAACTAATAAAAACTCATTTGAATAATTGAAGAACTCCCTCACAGATGCCTACTAAATTAACTATAACTCCTCGATTAAATGAAGAACAGTTTATACACTGAATATACAAAACATTATGAACACCTTCCTAATATTGAGTTGCACCTCCCCTTTTGCCCTCAGAACAGCCTCAATTTATCGGGGCATGGACTCCACAAGGTGTTGATAGAGGTCCACAGGGGTGCTGATCCATGTTCTTAATGTTTTGTACACTAAGTGTGGAGAAATCCGATTAGAGTAAAAAAGGGAGAAAAAAAATAGACCTCTTCACAAGGCAGTGATGTCAAAGGAATCATAGAGGGGCTAGATGAGTCCCAAGCGTTAAGTTAAAAACACAAGAATCTATAAGAGACCAAACATCTCCCATCACAAAAATGTCCTGAAACGTTCAGGGATGTTCAGCAATGATTGGGCGTCTGTTTTCACAGCTGGGGTTTGATGTGCTGAATAAATCGCAGCCGTTCGTTCAGTGCCTCTGCTGTGGATCCAGTCATAACAAGTCCTCAGTTTCTCTAAGAGGATAAACACAAATGTGCAGAGAGTCTATGAAGATGTCCAACCCCCCTCGCTGCAAACACAAGTGCATCTCCTCCCCCCTCTATCTCTGTCTCCCCTCGCTCCTGTCTTCCAGAAGCGATTGAATCCATCTCTCTTTTCATTCGCTATGCACTGAGGTGTGGATGGATGCACCGGGCTGATGGGCAGCAGGCTGTGGGGCCTCTGGGAACGCAATACACTGGGTGGGCAGTGGCTAGCGGCCAGCACAGTGGGGCTTGAAGGGGAACCCGGAAGGATGCGGTTTGGGCCACGAGAGAAGCCTCTTCATCACAGCAGATTGCCTGCCTGCGCAGTTCCGCGTGCCCATACATCGCTCTCCCTACGCCCCTGTATCTCCAATTCATGTTCAATCCCTGCCCATCAGGGTGTAATGGAGTCCCCGGGAAGCGTGGATGGATGGAGCGCGCTCTTTTCCTGGCAGGCGGTGGCAAAAATGTGATTCTCTCCTCCTCCGGTGTCACGCCCTGGCCTACATAACTCTAGCTAGTTTGGTCAGGGTGTGAATAATCTATGTTTGTATTTCTATGTTTGGCCGGGTGTGGTTCCCAATCAGAGGCAGCTGTCGCTCGTTGTCTCTGATTGGGGATCATACTTAGGCAGCCAGTTTTCCTGCCTGTGTTTTGGGTTTTTGTTTGTGTTCGGTTAGTGTGGCTTGTTAGTGTTAGCCTTCCGACGTCACGTTTCGTTGTTTTTGTATGTTTATTCAGTTCAATAAACATGGATGCATTTCACGCTGCGCCTTGGTCCGTCCCGTTCATCAACGAGCGTGACAGAAAAACCCACCACCAATGGACCAAGCAGCGTACCCAGGAGGAGCAGACAGTATGGACTTGGAGGGAAATAAGAGAGGATCTGGCCAAGCAGATGGAGGCCCTGAAAGGGATCAGGGTGGAGAAGGAGAGACAGCCCCAATATTTTTTTTTGGGGGGGCTAAAAGGGTGGTCGGGGAGCGACAGAGAGGAGCCCCAACCACTGCACTCGTGGGGGCTCAAAGAGGAGTCCTCACTGGAGGAGGACAGGGCGTGGAGTGTAAAGGACGGAGACAGTCATAGACCTCCAGCGCCGGTTCCCAGTCCGGTACACCCCGTACCTGCTCTCCGCACCAAGCCAGTGGTGCGTGTTCCCAGTCTGGCCCGGCCTGTTCCTGCTCCCCGCACCAAGCCAGTGGTGCGTGTTCCCAGTCTAGCCCGGCCTGTTCCTGCTCCTCGCACCAAGCCAGTGGTGCCCGTCGCCAATCCGGCCCGGCCTGTTCCTGCTCCTCGCACCAAGCCAGTGGTGCGCGTCGCCAGTCCGGCCCGGTCTGTTCCTGCTCCTCGCACCAAGCTAGTGGTGCACGTCGCCAGTCCGGCCCGGCCTGTTCCTGCTCCTCGTACCAAGCCAGTGGTGCGCGTCGCCAGTCCGGCCCGGCCTGTTCCTGCTCGTCGCACCAAGCCAGTGGGGCGCGTCGCCAGTCCGGCACGGCCCGTGCCCGTTCCACCGGTGCCTGGTTCGGCTCCGGTCAGCGGCTCCACGCTGGAACCAGAGCAGTCCGCTCCACCGGTGCCTGATCCAGCTCTGGTCAGCGGCTCCACTCCGGAGCCGGAGCCGCCACCGAGGCTGGAAGCCCACCCGGACCCTCCCCTATTCAGTCAAATTTGTGCGGCTGGAGTCCGCACCTTTGGGGGGGGGGGGGGGTACTGTCACGCCCTGGCCTATATAACTCTAGCTAGTTTGGTCAGGGTGTGAATAATCTATGTTTGTATTTCTATGTTTGGCCGGGTGTGGTTCCCAAATAGAGGCAGCTGTCGCTCGTTGTCTCTGATTGGGGATCATACTTAGGCAGCCAGTTTTCCTGCCTGTGTTTTGGGTTTTTGTTTGTGTTCGGTTAGTGTGGCTTGTTAGTGTTAGCCTTCCGACGTCACGTTTCGTTGTTTTTGTATGTTTATTCAGTTCAATAAACATGGATGCATTTCACGCTGCGCCTTGGTCCGTCCCATTCATCAACGAGCGTGACATCCGGAGCCGTGAAACACGAATAACGGCCGAGCCACACTGGTGAAATTCCACCCCTCCCCACTCCTCCATCCCCTCTGCCCTCCCAGGATCACTTCTCGCTCTCGCAGCACGGATTGCAGAGTGTTATTGTCGTGCCCCTTTTGTTTGGAGAGCCTTTCCGCTCTGGTAGCTTTGCTGTGAAGCAGTGGGGTTTGGACAGAAGAGAGGAGACATCCATTGGCCCTTTGGTGAATACTTGTTGTGATATGTTGACTCAATTAAGGAATTATTTGTCTACCAAAACATGAGACCACAGCAAAGAGGCGTGCTAAACTGACATACGGCCTAGCCCAGTAGCTCTACAGTGATCGGTATGAATAAAACAATACATCTGAGTAGAAACTATAAATGCATCAGGAAGGAAAAGGTTCATCTATGGTTTCAGTGAGCTCATAGAAGAAGTTTAACTCAGAACTCATTAAATGTTCAAACAGTACATTGAGAGGTGCTCATCGTCAGGAACAACAATGCAGACGCCTGGGCACCTGAAATAGAAGTTCTATAAAAACAATGGCGACAACTGCCACCGAGACAAAGTTGTCAAGGGTTCGTGTCTGGGAGCTCATTCGGGGGGGAAGTGAATCATGATCACCCTAGTTTGATGAGTCATTTTCCTCGATGTAACCTCCTCCTCCAGTTGGCTCTGTGAAAACCTTTTAATGTCCCTCCATCATTGCGGGACTACTTCTTAAAACAGATTTCAGTAAAACAGATACATAGATAGCACACTTACTGCAGTCTTACTGACAAAGGTTTCATACGCAAATTAATCACATTGACCCATATAGATATATGACCGTTATGGGAATAATAGGATATTTTGCAGGGAAATAGCCAGCCCGTCTACAAGTACCATCCTCTGACAGATCATTTACTGCAATGCAATCGCATGACACTTAAATCACACTACCTCTCTTAGAGCGTGGTCTATGCGGCATTCAGATACAATATTGTATGGCGAGGTGGAGACCGACGGGAGGGTTGCTAGTGTATTAGAGATGCAATTTCTGGTTGTGAATTGTTGGAGTGTGTGCTACTGCCGTGTGACAGAGTGGTTTAATGAGAGAGATCTGCACAGGACAATGAAGTGAGGCAGCGAGTCAGAGAGCAGGGCTAACTAGTAAACCAGGCGCTACCCACAGGTGTGATGAGAACACACTGGAACACCTGCAGTATGCACCATGAATACCTATATAATGCTACCGTATCACAAACATGACCTTGCCCCTGACTGGTTGGTGTCGCATTCACAACAGTACGATTCGAACGCGACTCCTTTATTACGGTGGGGTCATTGTGGCATTCTCATAGACCAGGATTGTTATTCTCAATGGTTACGACAGGTGTCATTATGCTGGGAGGAGACGGTAGTGGCCACAATCCTTTGGGCTGTTTGAATGGACAGGCATGCCCTTTGGTTTGTGCAATGCACCAGTCATTTTCCAATATCTTATGGAAGTGGTGCTTAGTGACCTCACCCGCAATCATCTACTCATCTATGAAATCAAATCAAATATTGATGGCATTATTGTCTTTTGAAAAGACTTAGTGGTAATGGCATAGTGATAGTGGTAATGGTATACTTATGATGCATTGTTCAAGTAAAGTATAACCACAGCCCCCTAACTCCTGAACCAAGCTACAGTAAAACACAGAGAATACCAATGCAACAAGCAAATGCATTATTCTGTATATTGTTTAATGTCTATTATGATGTTCTGAGAAGACTCAAGGTTATTGTTGGGCTTCATCTACTTTGTTTCCACCTAAAACAATGCTCTTATTCCACAAAAAGGACTGAGGAAAACTATATTTTTGGTTGAGGTGATCTCCAAGACACAGCTTGAGGTTTCCTGCAATCAAGCACAGAGCTCTGACTGTAACCTTGTGTCAAATGATAAAAAATATAAATGTCTAATTTAGTGGAAATTAGCACGGTTTCTCGAAGCGCTTGGTC